GGGGAGGAACGTAGGCGCTGGTCGCCTAGGACAGCCCAGGGTCTAGGACAGGAGGATGCTAAGCGGCATAGGGCTCATCAGAAGTGTCACCTCGGCCGGTGTGGCTCGGTTGGGCGTCGACCCGTCCACCGAAAGGCCGCCAGTTCAACTCCAGGTCGGGGCACATACCCAGGTTGTGGGTTAGATCCCTGGCAGGGTGCATACAGGAGGCAACCGACAGATGTTTCTCTCTCTCTCAAATCTTTTTAAAAAAAGTGAGTTTCAGTAGAAAGCAGAGAATGGCTGTTTCTCAGGGCCCTGGCTCAGCTCCCCGTGAGCTGGAAGAGGGCAGGGTGGGAGGTTTACCAGGGAAGTTGGGTAGAGGCTGGGGGGGATCACGGCATGACGGGCCATGGGGTTCAGCCTGGGAAGGAGGAGGACAGAGGCGTGAGGGGCATATGAGGGGGTGAAAAGCGTGTGGGTTAATGGGCTGTAGGTCCCAGTGTCACGATGAAGAGCTCTTGCGGCCGGGGTACTAGAGGGAGGAGGGGCAGACAGGCAGGGGGGATGGAAAGAGGCCGAGTGGGAGGGAGGGTGATTACCATTCATGTACAACCGCCGAGTGTCAAGTTCACGCCCAGAGACCTCGGCTCCCACGCTTACTGCTGCAGGTTCCTGTGCCGGTCCCTACACCCACATGGCCCCGGTGCTCCGTCTGCTGCACCGCCCTCGCAGGGCTGCCTGCAGGAAATGGTTGGGAAAACCAGGAACTGAACCTGAATCTAACTTCGAAGTTGACACTCTAACCTGCAGCCATGCTGTTTTTCCACGAAAATCCTCACCCACCATCTCCCTTGTTGGTTGCAATTCTGAGAGCTGATAATGACAGCATTTGGGGGCTGCTTTCAAACATGCTGGTCCGCTGTGTAATTTCATAGGCAGGTACCTCGAGTTGTGCCATCCAGGTAACTGTTTTCATGTGCTTCATCCTGCTGATACTGTAGCGATGGCCTGTGGACACAGCTCATTCCCCAGAGGCCAGCAGTCTGAGGGGAGGGGAGGGGATGGACGTTTAGGAGGCTAACAAGTGACCAGACCCCCGGCAGGTAGTGTGCAGGGGGTGATGGGATCACCGGAGCCTTGTAGGAACTCACACGTATTTATCTCAGACTAGAAAAGAAAACCAGAGAAGGTTCTGAGGCTCAGCAGCTTGCCCGTGGCTTCACCAGCAAGTGGAAGCCAGGATTTGGGCTCTGTTTCGGTGATTTCTGGAGCCTAGTCCCAGGGTGGCCAAACTGAAGCCATACTATCCTTGAAGGACGAGCTCTTCATTTCGTTACTATGGCCTTAAGATGAATAAAAATGCTGGTGGAAACAGATTACATAGAAAGTTTCATTTATTCAAATTAAATTATAGTATGACTTCCATATACAAATAAAATCTGTGTAAATAAAAATACAAAATGCTACAAATTTCAAGCATGTGAAAATGCAAAAATATATATATCTTTTCCCCTTAGCACACCCACAACGCACAGTAGTTGCCCCACAGTCCACACTCCATCATGCCAGCCAGGCAGCGAAGGTTCCCCGGCCTGTGGCTCTGTGAGGCGTCTGCGTCCACGGTGAGCCCACAGGCCTTTCCTCCCCAAGCCTGAGCTCACGAGGCTTCCAGTTACCAGCCACCAGAAGGGACACGTCCCACCGCGCCGGGCTGGAGAGAGGGCGTCGTGGGGAGTGCCGTCTCCAGGACTCGGGCTGCTGACCCTGGAAGACGCCTCCGCCGGGAGGGGCAGTGTGGGCGTCACTGGTCCAGCTCATTCTCGTTCTGCAGCGTCTTCATCGCCAGCCCCCAGAGGGTCATGCTGGAGAAGAAGGGGCCTTCCGAGCTCCTGTAGGCCGCGCCTGCTGCCCGGCTGCCCAGGGGGTCGCCGCAGTGATTGTCCAGAGTGGCCAGAGACGAGCGGATGGCGGCCATGCCGTCGGCCGGCAGCGGCCCATCGCTGGAGGCAGCGTCCGAGGCTGAGTAAGCGAAGGCTGGGTGCTGCGCGTGCTGTCCAGGGGCCTTGGCGAGTTTGCCAGGATCTGCACCAAGCTTCTCCGGGCAGCTGCCTCCGTGAGGCTGCGTGCTGGACCGGAACTTACAGAAGGAGCCGGCAGAGTGGCCGTCAAATTCTGTCCCGGACTCTTCCGCTGGCGGGACAGGGAGCTTTGTAGACGTGGGCATCAGAGTCACCGCCACATCCTGGGAAAAGGAGTCCGAGCCGGGGGCCCCGTCCAGGTCCGAGGCCTCGACGGCATGTGCGAGCTCCCGCAGCGCATCGGGGCTCTCGCCGTCAGCCCGGCAGTGCATCCTCAGGTGCCGCCGCAGCACGGCCGAGCGCGTGAAGCACTTGTCACAGATCTCACATGTGTATGGCTTCTCCCCGGTATGAGTGCGGACGTGCCTGCGGAGGTCACCGGACCCCCCGAAACATTTCCCTGCAAAAAAGGAGGGATCTTTTCAGATGTGGGCACTGGGCGGACCCCCACGCCTTCCAGCACACGCACAATGCGCTCGAGCTAAGCGGAGCTGCCCGGCTGCTCACTCGGGAAGCCTCCTCCGTCTCCCCGCAGCAGCAGCCCCCTCCAGCCTGCGGCCTCTTGGTTTGGGGTGTCTGAGGGCGAGCCTCCTAGACCCCGTCTGCCTGCACAGGAACACTTGCTGGGTAAGCCAGGCTGCCTGCCCCTGCTGGCTCATGGGTGCTGGGAAACCTTGGCAGTTTTGTTTAAATTTCTATAAATCTGGGACAGCCGATTTGTAAGGTAGAAACACCTTTCCTAAGGCATTTGTGTATATAGCTTCCCCCAACCGTCCCAAGCTGACCTGTCAGGTCAGAACACGGTCAGCAGAGTGGGAAGGGGTGGAGGCGTAGGGAGGGAAGAGAGGAGGTCCTGCCTCGCTCCCTCCTACAAGGGCCTCAGCAGCAGCAGGTTCCAGCTGGGGAGCAAAGAGGAAATTTAACCTTAAATCAAGCTGGTGGTTGTAAGTGACTTGGAATCGATAATGTACATTGGTGATATGAGACTGCATTTGTGATGCAAAGTGACGCAATCTTACTTTCTAAGAGATCAGAATAGTCTTGGAGCTGCCTGAATCTGTGTCCAGGAGATCTGTATAAAGTTTAAGTGGGAGATAAAAACAAAGTTGTCTCCAGTTACATCCCAGGTCCTGCCCGACCTTACATCCCAATTAGAATGTGAATGAGCCACGCTGAAATGTCCCGGGATTCCAGGCTTCCTACAGCTGGATACAGAGTGTTTTCCCCATTTGTTCCATTCCCACTGTCAACTTGTCACAGGTGCATACAAACACATGTGCGCACACATGCACGCACACACACGCAGAGTTTTTTAGGGACTGGAACATGCTGTGATCACAGGTTCCTGGTCTGTGCAATCAAGTATCCTGAAACTGAGGGCTGTCAGCTGTCCCTCTCCTTCCTTGATGACTTCACTGATGTGTCACATGCCTGTGGAAATGACCTTGACTCCGTGACACATGATCCGAAGGAGCCCGCCCTCTCCACCCCAGCATGGCTCTGATGCTCGAGGACAGACAAGCTGCTGCCCACGCCCTGCTCTCCCGGCGCTGTGCTCCGCACGTCTCCCACACTTTGCATTGTCTGCACAACCAGGAACACGGTCCTTAGGACCCTGTCTCAGTCATCTCAGTACCTGGAGCACCTGGGCACAGCTCTGGACACCTCAAAGGCATCCAGTGAATGTCTGATACATGAGCACACACATGAACAAGGAAGACCCCGTGAGGTGGGGAAGAAATAGTATGACTCCCATTGTACCCACGAGAAAGGGATGACTTATCCGACAGCACACGGCCAGGGCGGAGAGAAGGCCTCGGCCTGCCCACTCCAGAGGGGACAGAGCCGCCTGGCCTGTGGTGCCCGGCACTCACCGCAGGCCGCACAGCTGTAGGGCCGCTCCCCCGTGTGCCGAATCCGGTGCTTCACCAACTTCCTCTGCATGTTGAAAGACTTCCCGCACTCGTCGCAGGTGAACACTTTATCGGCCGTGTGCGTCTTCTTGTGCTCTTTCAAATTACTGAAGTTACTGAACCCTGGGGAGACCACAGCAGGGGTTTAAAGCCAGGGCGGAGACCATTCAGTTGGTAACTGGTAACCGTGAAGGAAGAAAGGAAAGCACCAGCCATACCTCGGCCACAGACGTCACACAGGTGCGGCTTCTCTCCCGAGTGAATAACAATGTGACGCTGGACGTCCCCGGAGGCCGCAAACCTGCAGTGTGATTTGAAAATGCAACTGAGAGCCTTTCCACACCACTGCACTTCCATAACTGAGGCACTGAGGGGGCGGGGTGGGCGGCGCCCCACCTTCCTGGGACGTAATCAGCAGGGCCTGACTGCACCTGAAATGTGCAGTACAGAGTATCTTTACTGTTCTCTTTTTTTAAAGGAAAGTAGAAAGTAATGCAAGTGTTTTGTTTTTAAAACACTTTTTCTACCTAGCTGCATTAATCTTTCTTCTTCAGAGGCGGCCGCCCGCTGGGCTCAGCTCAGGGAGTAACTGCAGCCCAGGCCCTGGGATGTGGAGCCTGGGCGCTTTCCTTCCCACCGCACTTGATAGAGGACAGACATGCTGCCTTTGGGAGGCGCGCGAGGCTGGGAAGGTTTCACTTGTTTTCTGCCTGCAGAGACACCTGTTTTCCTGGAACTGCATCAAGAGCAGCCCCTTCCCCTGGTGTTTCCACAGTGTGTGCAGTTCCTGCTCCAGAGGACTGACTGTCCCCATGACTGCCTCTCCCTCCCAGACTCCTGAGTATGAACTTATCACAGGCAGAGAATTTGTATTTCCCATCATAGTGCTCACATACAGCAGATGGCTAATAGATGCTGAGTGAATGAATATAAAGCCAGGTGACTGGCAGTCCCGGCTCATGCCTGTTGTTCAGCATGACCATCAGATGAGAGAATATGGACTCCGAAGCATGACCACAGCGAGGGAGGGCGGGCGTGTGCACGGAGGGACCCTCTCCTCAGACTGCATTTCACCTCCAGAATGAGACTGCCACCAAAACCCCTCAGGCTTTGCTCCTGCCTTCCTTCCTTCCTTCCTTCCTTCCTTCCTGCCGCTGACTCCCGCAGCCCGAGGGCCTGGGCTGGCGCCCTTCCTACCACCCTGCTGAAATCTGGGCAGTTGGGCTGCACGTCTCACTGCCCCAAATAGACACCTCCATGGGCATTCGTCTATCTTTATGGCCATTTTTAGAAAGAAGGGACATTTTAGTATAAACTCATTCTGTTTCATGTAAAATCCAATTTCCTGAGACGTCTGTCCTAAGTTTTCTTTGAATGAACATCTTTGTCTTTTTGTTACTCTTGCGTGCCTGCAAGGCTCTGCAGAGGGTCCAGGGACCTGAGCTCCTCCGAGGTAGGGTGAGCTCCAAGTGGCTCCTGTGTGAGCCAGGCAGAGAGCACTGCTGTCCAGAGACCAGACCATGCAGTGCTCCCCCCCCCACCCCGGAGGGAGACCCAGCACTGACCTCTTTCCACAGACTTCGCAGATGTACGGCTTTTCCCCAGAGTGCCGACGCAAGTGGGTCTGCAGGTTACCTGCCTAAGAGAAAGGAGAGAAAGCACACCAATGACAGGGGTTTTGGGGAAAAAAAAAAGGTTACGTACATTCAAACGGAAACCTGACAGATCTAGCCAGGTTCCAGTCCATCTTCCAAAGGAAGACTAGACTTCCACAGCTCGGAAGGAGCCGCGTGCAGGAGGAAGTGCCGCCCAGTTCTAACTAGGGGTGTCGCTGCTGGCGCCTGTTGAACCTGACCGGTCTCTGGACTGTGCTGCTGGGCCAAGGGCTGTGCCCAAGCCCCTGGCTGTCCCATCGCCGGCCGCCCTGTGCCGCTTCGCTCTTAAATGGGCGACACACAGTGTGGCGATCACTAAGCTTGTATTTTAAACAGACCTTGATGTGTTATTTCATGTATTTTTAAACTTGGACCATCTACATGCAAGTATCACTTGAAAAAAAAGTAGTGCTTGCACACGGTAATTTCATGTTCATTGTTTCTTCCTGAGAAACAAGCTTTTGCTCATCAACATAAGATGCTTCGAACAGCATTTCCTTTGCAGTACGGTTGTCCTCCCTGATGGGTTTGTCACTTTGTCCTTTGTGCTGAAATGGACATCAGGAGCCACCAAGTTCTCTGGTGCAGGGACTTCCTGCACCTAATTTCTGACACCAGCAGGGCTTTACAAAAAATAACTAATTTAAATGGAGGTCACAAAACAGACTTCCCTGTACTAATCAATAGGAAATCAATATTAAATTGCCTGAAGCGCAGTGACACTGAGACTGAAGATGCCTTAGATATTAAACATGCTCTCATCTGATGCTTCAAACCTGGATTCAGAGACAAAATTTTCCACTGCGAAAATTTAAGTTAACAGTCTCAGTCTGTCACAGCCCCTACTTAATTTTTCATAGTGTTCTATTGAGAAAACAAACACTGAGATAAGCAAATATACCCAAGGGTAATAATGCTCAGGCATTAAGCACAAAATAAGCCAAAAAGGGAGAAGAAGAGTACCAGCTAACACACTTGGCTTTGTATATTTGCAAATTATATTTCAAATAAAATGCCAAGATAGTCCATGGTTACAGGTTTGAAGACGGGTCTGAAGTCCACCTATGAGTAGAATAAAAATGCAGTCTGGGTTTTCTGTTATGACACGGAAGGTTCTTTGTGTCTATCAGTCTCTGGGGAACACTGTTAGAATCTACCTTTCAGAATATGATCAATGTGGTTTAGACAAAAAACTCAGGTTTACTTTAGGTAACCAAAGAGAAAGAACATGGCAAAATACTGGGAAATACCCAGCTTTTAATAGAATGACTATGAATGACAGTAATCAAGCAACAAGTGCCAGTAGCAATATATATGTGGTCTACTTAGGCCTTTAGACATATTACCAAGTTACCCTTAGTAACTGGTATTAAATCTATTTTCTAGATGAAAAACTGAGGTTCAGATAAGGTGGTTGCTCCAGTTACACAGCTGGGCCAGGAACTGGTTTGTGTGAGTCTGAACTGTCGTCTTACCTGGGGGAAAGCCTGAGGACCAGCAAGTTTCTGTGAATAAACTGGCTTGTGTTGAACACTCAGTAGGCCAAGAGCCACTTTGCTATTCAGGAGACAGCTCACTGGAGTTAAGATAATGCACCACTGGCTGTGTTAAATCAGCCACTTCCACATTTCAGAAAAGCTCATCAGCTATGTGACAATTCAAATAGCCCATCTGCTCAGCTGTTACTTGAGATCCCTCCTTTCAAGTTATTCTGTAAACTATGCATTGTGATGGAAATTAAGTCTCTGAGTCAATTCTGAGCAATGTTAAATCTTCCCTTTTTAAGTCAAGCGTAACAATCACTTGTTTTCCAAGCAAATATAATCGAATGGTCTTCCACTCAATATTATAATGTGCAATAGTGAAAATTTTTTTTAAATGTTTCTTTAGCTATTTAATAGTGGAAATGAATGGAAATAATTATCTTTCCCCACATGAAAGAGCACCTATTAGTCTGATAAATGATATAAAAGTAGATTAAGTAATGGAAAAATTAAGGCAGAAAAGTCCAATGATGCATTCAGATAATTTATACCAAATTACGAGGCAAACTGGGGCCTAGATTGTTTGACCTTAGTCAGGTTTTCGGTTTCGGTAAACTTTGCTATGTTCTAATTATATGCTAAATACATAGATCTTGTCTCAGAAATTATCTCTTGTTGGATCCATGAAAACTCTAGCAAGTGGTAATAATAACAGCTATCAACTGCTAAGTCGTTACTATGAATGAAGCACTTTGCTAAGTTGCAAACAGCATTTCACTCAGTCATCATAATGTCCTTATAAAGGAGCATTATTCCCATTTTACAGAGCAGGAGCCGGTATGGGACGGGACGGACACGACACTAATCGGGTTGGTCTATGGACATCGCAGTCGCGAGGCTGCCGAGCTGTGCACCTTTGCTAGAGAAAGTCAGCAGCCACGAAGGTGCATTCTTTCTGAGCAAATGTGGTTTTAAATTAGGATGGAGTTGCCAGAATTTTGAACAGAAACACTCTGTTGTAGAAAAGAATCTCTGAACTGTTGAGTAGCATGCACTTAAACATCAGTATTTAAACGTGACTAAACCAAGCATAGTATTCTCTCCAGAGTACCCTTCCAATGGCAGCTGATTGTTTATATAAAAATTGTCGGGAAATCATAAAAGTTTAGAGAAAAAGTAATAAAATTAGAAGAAAAAAAATCTGGAGATTAACACAGAGATGTCACCTAAACAAAAATGATCACTACACAGATAAGGGAACATTTAACACCAGAAGTGTGCGAACTATCACCTCAAAAGTTGAAAATTTATTAACTTGGGAAGAACTCACTAAACTACTTATTTTTGCATTTTCACTATGGATGGATGAAACTTTGTGCATCAGGCCACATCAATACTGGCCTTGGGAGCCACGTAGCTAGGAAGCCTCCCACAGATTGCTGTGTCCCTTCCACCATGCAGGGACATGGTGGCCACCCCCTTCAGACAGCACTGTGGGAGGACACTGAGCCTCTTGGAACCTGCTGTCCTGCACTGCTGCTCCATGTTCCTTTCCACCTCGGGGGACACAAGCAACTCTATTCCTCTCCCAGAGACAGCTAACCACATCAAGCTTTTCTTCTATTTCTTCTGTGACAGGCATTGGGACCTTAGTTTTCTCCTCTGGATGCACCACACGGCCCAGCTTCTACTCCACACAGGAGACTCACCACTCCAAATGGAGCCTCTTTTCTACTCTAAAGTATGACTTACTTCCTGAGACCTGGGCAGTGTCCAGAATTATATTAACACATGTATATTCTGTGGCCCAATCTAGGATTAATTATAGTAGTTTCTTTGAGCCGATGACTCCTACTGCTTCTGACTCATTATTAAGGTTGTGGTTAACTTTTTTAAAAGACTAACCCTACTAAATACTAAGTTGAACAAACAGTATAAAAGATCAATGCTCACTGGTAGTCTATTTTCTAACTTTTGAATAGTCCAGAAGGGAAAACATTTACAAATTCACTCTACCCAAGCAAACACTCTGGCGACTACGCGGGACCAATCCGATCCACTGTCACCAGACTGAGAAACAAATGCCGGCTCAAGGTGAAGGGGGGCTAGTGGGCATAATTTACTCAGCATCTCTATATAAACAGCACAACTGCTCTCCTGGCCTACAAGCCAGACTTTCAAGCTTATCCAATGTCTCATCTTCAGGGCTCCCCTGAACAACTTCTCAACACGTGTCATGTCCCCGCCGCGAACATTGCAGTTCACAGAGAAATGACTACGCTCTTCTCGTGTTTTCCGTACATATTCCTATCACAGTACTTCAGTCTCGCTGTCCCTTACGGTTTATACATCTGTTTCTTCCTCTAAGCACTAAGCTCCTCGAAGGCTTATCCATCTTTTTCCCCCAGCACTGGAGGCTGGCAACAAACACGTATTGAATGATGTTTAAGAGTCTTTGTTCACAAAAACTTTATCATTTCACTATGAAATAAAACAATATACACCTGAAAACTGTAACTACGCATAACTCTCCATTCATAAAAATCTGACAAAGATATAGACACCAACACAGAAGAGGATTTCTGTAGTGCCCAGCAGACAGGCTGCCCTGGGTAGGCCTCGGAGGGAAAGGTCTTGGGCATTGGTCCTCAACTTTAGCTACATATCAAAACCGCTGTATTAAAAATATGCCAAGACTTGGACCCCACCCCAAGGCAGCAGTCAGAACCTCCAAGGGTGGGCCCGGTGTCAGTGCCAGGGAGCAGGCTGATGGCAGACCGCAGGTGCCTGATGCCTGCCTGTGCCTCACCCGGTTAGCAATGAAGTGTCTTGGAAGGGGTCCAAGTAAGGGGACGGAACCAAAATGATCACTGTTTTAATGTGTAAAGGGCTTTCCTGTCCATTTTTTCACCTAATCCTAGTAATATTCCCAATGTAGTATTAGCCTTATTTTAAGAATTATTAAAATGAGGCAAAGAGAAGCTGTGATTGCTAAGAATTACTGGTCATTCATTTGGGTCTTAGCTTTCCCACTACACCGAGGCCGTAAGATTAAAGTGGTATGTGGAGGGGCTGCCTCAGGAAGACAGTCTGCAAGAGCAGAGAGGACTGCTGGGCAGAGAATGGAGACACCAGCAACAGGACAGGAAATGATGTTTCCTGAGTATAAACAAAGGCCAGTTTCTAAGCACTTAATCTGATCAACTTGTTACTCCTCAGTCTCCTGGGGTCAGTAATCTCATTAGCCTCGTTTCGAAGACAAGAAACTAAAATGCTCAACAGTTAGGTAGCTTGCCCAGGTCACAGAGCCAGTGGCAGGATTTGGGTCCAGACTGTGGCTCTGGAGCCCAAGCTCTGACCCTCCAGTAAGGCTGGGACAAAGAAGCCCAACTAGAATGGCAACCAGAGGAACGATCACTCTGTTCAGCCATCAAGACTACTGCACACTTAGTGGGTGCTAGGCACCCTCCCGGATGGCAAATAAGATGTGGCCCCGCCCAGACTAATAACTAAAAGGGAGATATTAAAACTTGCTGGCTCGCTGGAAAGTCATTAAGGATGCAGGTCTGGGTGCTGGGAAAACAAGGGGAACGGGTCACAGATGGCGCTGCTCTGGCTGCTCCCATGCTCGGTGGGCCTGCCTCCAACTCTCACCAGACTAGCGGTCTCTGTTCCTGCTCATGGCCCAGCCTGAAGGCCCTTCCCCAGTGAAATAGCCTTGTGCATGCTACTGCCACAGAACTGACCACGCCGTGTAGAAACAGCTGTGGGGTGGGTGACTGTTTCCTCGGCAGGACTGTGCACCTGGACTCCATGAGAGGCTCTGTTTTATTTACCTCTGGAATGTCAGGGCACGGCACAGGGGGGATGAACAGTTAGCTTCTGTTTCAGAAGGAAAAAGAACTTCCCCCAAGCCTGCATTCAATATGTTCTCTAGAACATTACATCTCCAGGTTCCTTTAGGTCTAGTGCTCAGATCAGTACTCAGCCCGTAGGATCCAATGAACACTGGCTGGATGATTTAATATGTCATCTTAAGAGAGGTCAGCTAAAAGGTAGCAAAAGCAGGAATGAAAACTGTTTGGTCTGTTTTCCAACATCCTAACATATTCAGTCCCAATAACAAGACATCTGTCTGAATGCAGCCCAGCTTCATCTGCAGCCTCCAGGTGTGTGCTCAATAGGGTTTACTATACTCATGAGAGAGAATATACCAGGATTGCACCCATCCTGGGGGTGCAGGGGATTGTGAGAGTTCTCACACTTATAAAAAATGGTATTTTCCCCCCCCAATGAACTAGAAATTTGTTTTCTTGAAAATTATTTTCTCCCGATGTAGTCTGAAGTCTTTTAAGTTACAGATATCCTCAGAGGCTTCTCTCACAACCCCAAAAGTATGCTTATTTGTAATAAAAATCAATACTGGGTTTCAGGTTCCAATTATTAACAATAAATAAAAGTATTCCCACCTGAGAGAAATGTTTCCCACAAATGTTACATTCAAAAGGTTTCTCACCTAAAACAAAACAAAACAACAGCTTGTAAAATCATTCGTATTACTCACACAATCATTTTCTGTGTAAGACATTTACACTACCCCGCGTCCGGCCACTCAAGGCAGACAGCATGTTCTTCATCATGACAGCGTGAGAACTGGGTCTCCACACTTCTTCCTGTCTCTCTCACACACAGAGGTGACAAAGTGAAATCTACAACTACTTTTCTCTAAAAAATCAAACTGTTCTCCAAATGTAAACCTATGTTGAAGTCAAGCTTACTTATCTGTATTGAAACCCTGCCTAGGTTTTGGACACAGTCTTCCCCTTTGGTTGAAGACCAAATGTGAGTTTCCTGGCGGAAAGGCAGGAACTTGTTCCCGGGTCCCTCGGCTTCACACCTTCACTCACCAATGCCCAACAGAACCGGGGCTCGTTCACACCACGTGAGGCGTGGACATGGCACAGCCCCACACCGAGAGGGACCTTCTGAGGTGGGACAGGGAGAAGTCCCTCCCCTGCCTTTTAGCTTGGTTGAACATGCTAACAGGGGAAAATAAGGGGGCACCTTGCTGTGGGAGCCACCTCTGATTTTAGTAACTCCGAGTAGTTACATTTGGTACAGAACAGACTGCAGAGAATGGAACTCTGCCACAAAGAAACCACAGCAGCTCTGAATATAGTCTCTGGAAAATGACAGGTTTAAAGTATACTTCAAGGTACCACTTTCAATCTAGATAACTCTAAGAAACAGACTGGGAAGACCAAAAACCTTCCATTTTCCCCATCTTTCTCCAACAAGTGGCTACATGAAGATTCTCCTTAAAGAATAACCACCTCCCCCTTCCTACCACATTGCTGGGCTGCCAGCTTTCTGGGCTCCTGCCTGGACACTTTCATGCTGACTTCTTCCTGAAACTGTTTAATGGCTTCCTCAAGGACAGGGCGGGCAGAAAGCTTTTGGCTCTGAATAATTACAATCATATTAATTATGTATTCTGGGACATTCATGCCTGAAGTTATGGTGATAATGGATAATGTGAAGTTAAAACCCCCATTATGAGATCGCAGAATTTGAAAAAAGAGTCCACCGGTTATTAAGACTCCCAAGTGACCTGAATTAATAACCCTACTCCAGTGGTCCTCAAATGTGTTGCTCTCAGGGTCCCTTCCCACTCTTAATTGAGACCCTGAAGAGCGTTTGTTTATGTGGGCTGTATCAGTCAGTACAGTCCCTACTAGAAATGAAAACAGAGCGATTTTTAACACACATGACTAGACAACTCATTGGCTACCCGAGTGATGACAGTCTTTAGCCGACTGCACTGCACACCTGTGGGAGGACAAGGCAAGAGACATCCTACATGGTGATGGAAACAGCTCCGGCCTCACAGACCCAAGGCCCCAGATCATAAGCTGAGGACCGCTGCCCTCTCAATACAGTATTTATGTCCAAGTGCGCATCTCTGCCGTGATGTATGACACTGTCGTTCAAAGATGTTCTCAAAGAATGAAGAATTTAATTTTTCTTCCCTTTAAAGCTAAACAGACAAGTTTCTCAAACAAAATATAGTGATCATTAGGCTCTAAGAAAATAAGCAAACAGAACAACCTAAATTAAGTTTTTCCAGGGCAAAACTGAGTCAGTAATACTGCCTTTATATGGAGTATACTTCTGAACTACTAGTAACAATATAATACTTTATATTCAAATACATTACAATTTATAAAGGGCTTTCATAAATATCAAGTAAGTCTCAACAATGCACCGAGGTGGTAAATACCGAGGCATACCAGGAATCGAAGTGGTAACAGAACGTCACACCAATAATTGCAATTGCACAAGCACCTGAAAAGCAGTTATTCTGGAAGCATCTGCAGCCCATTACTTCTCATGCCTAGAAGGTAACTGCCACTCATCTGTAGTGTGTGTCAGAGTCCTGTTTAAGTGCAGGAAGAAGAGTAATACATACGTACTGTATAATATAACGTATACGTGCTGTGTAACACTTTTTAAAGAGCTTTTGTAAAAAATAAACTTTTTGGAAAGAGGAGGAGGTATGAATTAAGGTGGTAAAACTTTGAAAATTCAATGTTCAAAATGGAAGGATTTTCATTTGAAAATACCAACTCGTTAAAGCTGACCCTTATTAAAAAGTTTACCTCCTGCCTCCCAAATCACAATTTTTAAAATCTGATATTCATATTACTTTACAGAGAACTTTTAGAATTACTCAGACTAAATTACTTGTCTGATTAACCTACATTACATTTTTAAAGAATAAACTTAATCTAACCTTAGAGACAATTAAATATAGCTTATCTATTTAGAACTTGAAAACTCCAGGACATCAAAATAATTTACTATCCTTCCTTAGAGATGGAGTTTTCATATAAAAACCTAATTAAAATTAAAATGGAGTGTGACAACTTTTAAAACTGGCTTTATGAAAGCATCTATAGAACTTTATGATTGTTCTTTAAGAGGCACCACCAAAAATATGAATGAAAAAGTAGTTAATGTTCTCTGCTTTTTTTTGTGTGCAAATGTCAACGCCATCATCAAGCAATAGCAAAGCTTCTTACAGAAAGCGGAGCAGGCACGGCGGCGTCCGCGTTACTCCCTGTCCTCGGCCTGCGGGCAGAGTCAGTGTACCTGTATGAGACCGTCTGTGGAGCTCCAGGTTGCTCGGGTGTTTGAAAGGTTTCCCACACAGTTCACACGCGTACTGCCTCTGGGGTTGGAGCAGCTGGGACTGGTCCTCCGGAGCCTCCAGTGCTTCGGGCCTCTCGGTGTCAGTCACGCAGTGAAAACCCTCGGAACTGACGGGTGCTTCCCTTTCTTTCTCTTCGGCACTTTGACTGCTAGCTCTCTCTGTAGTGTCTTCACTAGCAGAGTCTATCCCCTTGGTTAAACCCACATCTGATGGGGGTTCAGAAGTTTGCTCTGCAGATTTCTGTGACTTCAGGAAATTGAGCTTCTTAAGGTGAATGGCCTTTTTGAGCCTCATCTGTTTGGTAGGTGGTTGGCACGCGCTGTCTGACTCAGGGTCCGGGGCAGGTTCACTGAGAGGCTGGGCCAGGAAGTTGGGAGGTAGGTGCTCCGGGGATGGCAGGGCGCATTCGGAATGACTGACAGCACAGGGCTGGCTTTCCATGGCAGTGAGGTCTGCAGACGGGCTGATGGTGAAAGGCTGCTCGGCTGTTCTCTCCTGACTGGGGCAAGTAGCTTGTTTATAGTACTGCTTACTGTACAGGTTTCTGTGTTTGTAGTAGTGATTTGGCGGTTTGAACGGCAGTTCAGTGCAGCTGCTGTCTAAGGAATCAGGGGCTTGTTTTGATATTTCGCCTGCAGGGTGATGGAGATGAACTGATGGTGGAGCCTGAGAGTGCGGCTCGTCCAAGACCTTGCTGTGCTGAGTATCTGCCGGACACTCCGGCAGCAGGTGAGGAGAGTAGCTTTCAGTGATGGCACAGCTGGTGTCAGGAGCCAGCGCGCTCTGCAGGGAGAACGCACTGTTACAGGGCATGCCAGGCGGCTGCTCCCCAGGGGCCGATTTTAAAAATGTGTGACACAGACTCAGGACGTTGTGAACTTGCAAACACTGTGCTATGTCCAGCATCACTTGTACATTGTCCTGGTTAAGATCCAGGTGAGACGTGTACATGAAGTCTAGGATCTGCCCGATGCCGCTGACATTTTTAATGTCCAAGTGAAAAACATCATTCTTCTGGCCTGAAGAATTCTGGAAGAGGCTCCTGATGAAAGAAAAGATACCCGTTTACAGTATTAACAATTCATACATGCAGATAGCTTTTTCTTATAAATAATACTTATGTTAATGTTCAAAATTACTATCCTTCTATAAATGCCAGAATTTTAAAATTACGTTTTAATCCTTTTTTAAATTTGACAAGCCATCCAATAAAGCAATTCAGATAAATGAAATTACTGTGTTGAATATCCAAACTTCCCAGTACTCAAAGTAAAATTCTGCAATATACTCTTGGCTCTTTTCAAATGTAATGACCCACATGCATTATTAATAGGATAGAGAGTAGAGAAAGCTAAAGGACACACATTTTTCACTACTTCCTGTTTACAGTCTGACAAATCATTTGTTTTAGGCCATAAAACACATATAAAAATATTTCCATATCTAAGTGCCTTAAGAAGTCTAAAAATAAAAAGCTGTAATAAACCAACCCTTAATATATGCTCATTTTTTTAATCTTAATTTTTAATTGTGGCAATATATACGTAATGTTAAATTAAACAATTATGGTTCAAGTGGTAAATTCAGTGGCTTTAAGTACATTCATGCTGTTGCAACCATCACCTCTATCCATTTCTAGAAACTCTTCATCATCCCAAACAGAAACTCTGTCCCCATTAGACACAAACCCCCACTCTCCCCCTCCCCTGGGAACCTCTGTTCCACTTTCTGTCTGAGTGTAACTGCTCTAGGACTCTGACATATATGCTCACTGTGTACTCGGTCATTCACTAGCTGTCCAGCAGCCCAATGGTCCACACATCAGCAGTGAGAAAGACCCTAGGAGTTAATGAGGGGAAAAGGCACATTTCCATGAAGCCCAAACACTTTATTATGGGCACAAGTCAAATTCACTAGTGAACGAATTTGTACTGTGTAAAGCTGAGTTAGGTGAGCTGTCTTATAATGTTGAAGGCATTTTATCAGACACAGTCATCTGCTTCCCCAAAATAGCCTTCGGTTCTGTTTTTTTTCCTCAAGGAAAGTACAAATTAGAAGCAGGGTGGGAAAACACCAGTCAATGTATCACAACATCAAAACCCAACTGTCCTTGGAAGACAGAAGAAAGGCAAAGCCTGAGTCTGGGACCACTGTGCGTAAGGACAAAGCGTGCTGCCAACCCTAGTGAGCTGACCCACTGTAACACGTACGCAGATCTTACACAATGGCTGAGATTTGAGCTGCCGACTCAGGATTACCGAGGAAAGACGAAATCCTGTCCCGTATGTTGTTACCAGAGCAGTAAAACAGTATGCATTCTAGGGAAAAAAGGCACTAAAAAAAGAATCTTCAGGGCCTACAGAGAGCTAAATCTAGCTCATCAGAGAACGTATGAAGAACACTTAACTCTAATGTTACAATAAATAAGTAAATCTTTCATATAGGCAAAAATGATTACAGCAGTAAGCAGACTGAGTTCAAACCTGTTTTCTTAGATAGTCAAATAAGAAACTAAAACTAAAATGTTTTAATTAAAAAAAAAAAAAAAAAAAAGGAAAAACCCCCCCAACCCCAGCATATAGGCTATTTCCCCTCTCTGATCTCTTATCACAGGACAGTTTTTACCAGATTTTTTTTTTTACTGTATTTTTTTATTGATTTCAGAGAGAGGGAGGGAGAGGGCGATAGAAACATCAATAGTGAGAGTTATTGATCGGCTGCCTCCTGCACGCCCCTGCTAGGGGTCGAGTCCACAACCCGGGCATGTGCCCTGCCACCAGGGATTGAACCCGATCTCCTGGATCCTAGGTCAATGCTCAACCACTGAGCGAAGCCGGCCGGGCTTTACCAGAAATTTTATTCCTCAATGTTTTTATCCTAAAAGGATAACAAATATAAACAGAAGACTGACATTAATTAGAATGATTAAAATCAAAGACAAAGTACCAAAATGTTTTCAGTCACCCCAACTACAGATGATGCATTATGGAAATGTACACCTGAAGCCTATATAATTTCATTAACCAATGTCGCCCAATAAATTCAATAAAAAAGTCCCACAATGCACTACAAAAGAAAAGGAGAGTGAAATCCAAGGAGCAAATAAAATTTAGTCAAAATGTTTCCCCCCTAGAAGAGCTTCTTCTCTGTCCGGTTAGGACAACAAGGCTGCAGTCGCACCTAAAGTACTGGCTGAACGCTGCGAGGACATTCTTGTGTGCCTTAAAGCAGACACCTTTCACCACCAACATGCAGTCACAAAGCAGGCCTTGGATGCGCTGCTCATGCAGCTGCTGCAGGAGATGGCAGCTGTGAGTGGCAACTGGGTCCATGCTCAAGCATCCAGGAGACCTGCAACAAAGAACGCAGATACAACAGTGACTCTTGATGATAAGACGGCACCAAACCCACTGACTATCTGTGGTTCATCGTCATGTGTCCCTGTCATAGCAGCTTAAAAAACAAACATACAAACAACAAAAAAAAGTAGTTTCTTATGCATCTTGGCCAGTGTTGTTCAAAAAGAACTATCTGCCATCATAAAAATGCCCCATCCCTGCACTGTTCCACACAGTGGCTGTTAGCCACCCATGGCCTCTGAGCACTACCTGTGGCTCCCCAAACAGGCCGTGTTCTTGGCCAGTGTGGGAGCCCTGGCCCACTCTCATTTGCCATGTGACTTTGGGCAAATGACTTCTCCATGTCCTATGTTCTTCGTCTTATCTCACAGGTTACTGAGATAAATGTGAGAACCCACATAAACGTGTGAACATTTAGAACAGCAATTGGCAAAAATAAATATTCAACAAATGTTATCTGTAAGGACTGCCTGAAGAGCCTGTTAAGAATGCAGACTCCTGGAAACCACCTCAGAGTTTTGTTCAGCTGGTCTAGCACAGGGTCCAGGCACCTGCATTGTAAGCATCGGGGGGGATTCTGAAGCACATGGGTTGCAGACCTCTGCCTTGCTCTCTCCCCCAAAAGCCTCTGGTTCTGATACTTCCTGTCTTGGGAGAATTTTATTTACCTCTGACTCTCCCACCTTCCAGGTAACGCCTATTCCTCTATCAGGACTCAGCTGAGCTGTCACCAACTCCTGGAGGCCTTTTCTGCATTCATAGCATGTTCTCTCTCCCAGACTTGTGCCTCCTCAAGTCTCACTCTGGGGTCACTCCTCTATATCTCCCAGCACCCCATACACTCTTCCTTAAGAGCACGTGTCCTTATGCTCTGTCACTTGCGTCTCCAAGCATGCTGTGAGCTCTGAGGGGACCATCCTACTCACCTTTGCCTGGCACGGAGCAGACACCCAGCCATTACAGTCCACGCTAGCTCACCGTTGCTGAGTGTCGGTTGGTAATGTTCTACACCCGTGCCTTTTGACTCCCTCTACACCCCCCAGAAGGGCTCTCCTAAATCCTTCCCATTCTCTTCATTCACCCCAGGTCTGCCTCCCTCATTCATAAAAATGACTGTGCCCCGACTTCACCAAGAAGGCTGAGCCCATGGATAACTTGAGATAAGCCAAGTGCCTTTCATTTCTTTTCTGTTTTAATTTCCCACTTCCCTCCCCCAGCCCCTTCAGCTTTACTGGATCGGGTGTGCTTCTTCTTCCGAAGCAAACGTCCCTTTCCCCCACCCATTCCCTCCTGCCCCCAGGACTTTGCCCCCCCTTACTGCTTCACACAGTCCTTCACTGGCTCACCAGTTCCTGCAAACACTCCGAGATCAGACCATGTTGAAAAAAAGCAAAACAAAACAGGACAACAAGCCCTCCCACCAGGTACATCTATTCACCTCGGCCTCTCATGCTCTTTCATAACAGCAATCTGCATGCTCTGCTTTACCCTCAGGACTCCTTGCCACCTAGCAGCCTGCCATTCTCACCGTGCTGAAGCAGGCCTGCCCAGCATTCTGTCCTGTCCCACCCGTCCCAGCTTTCCTGTAGCATGTGGAAGTGCGGTCTGCCCACCTCCGTCCTGAAAGTTGTCCGTCCCCAGAAGGCTTCTGCTCCTTACCATGGCTCTGGCCTGCTATACTTCCTCCTCTGCAAGCCCCAAAGGTTAATGTCCCTTAACACTCAGCACCTGAGCCCTCTTTGCCTTCCTTTGACAATCATTTCTGTTCTTGGCCTTCATCTGTTCTAAGCAAACAAGTCCTAAATTTGAAATGTTAGCTTTGACCACCAGTTTCAAATGTCTAACTTTCTGCTAACCATCTCTAACTGTATGACCCTTCAACTCAGAATCTCCAAAACTCATCCTCCATCACCAGCCTCAGTTCTATGCCTTATTCTGATTCCCCCATTTCTTTATGGGAAGCTTGGTTTCTGGAATGTGGGATTTGGGGTGCTGGCACGATCTCCTGGTTTGAGACCAGGGTGGGATTCAGAAGAAACCAGGACTAGAGGTGATGTCATCTACAAAGAGCAACACTGCAGTGCTGGGAGTGGATGATATTACCCAAGACAGAACACAGGAAGGGGAGCCTTCTGCCAGGCAGTGGGCGCTGTCCCCAGTGCTGAATCCTCAGAGGTACTGAACAGCCAATGACTGAGTCATCAGTTATCAGCCCTCCCCACTGGTAGCCTAAAAAGAAAAGGCTGCTTGGTTTATTAGTAGTATCATTTACTGACTGCTTACTACAGGCTGGACACTGTGCTAAGCATATTACATATGCTAACTCAGATAATGCTGTAAGAACCCTATTATCACCATTTTACAAGTCAGGAAATTAATAAATGGGGACTTTAAGTAACTTGCCCATGATCATAAAACTTATGTTCCAAAGCCAGGATTTAAATCCTGCTTCCTAAACCCTGCAGTCTCTGCTTGCTCATAGGCCATGCAATCTCCCATGAGAGGAAGAATGTTAGAAAACACAGCACAAAGCCTTCCTCCACAGGCTTCAGCGTTAAAATGCAGCAAATATTCTGAATCTACATTGGACATTTTCTAGCCATAAAAAGGTGATAAAGGGAACAATTCTTTGGAATGACCCTCAGAGTTTTGATTATCTGCAGTTATGAACCATTCCATAATGTACTTTGACATAAAAATCATGACTAATCTATATTAATTACTGTAATTCTCTAATTGCTTCATGATGCATAAGTCCCTTATAAAAAACCTCTAGAAAAAGAATCAGTAATTTATGTGTCCTATATCTAACAACTATAATAGTATATATACCTAATAAAAGTAACTATAACAACAAATGTTTATAAAATGCTTCCTGTATGGTACCGGGCACTGTTCTAAGCCCTTTACAGGTTAACTTATTTATCTATCTATCAGAATAACGGTAAGACAGGTTCTACTATTAACCTCATTTTCTAGATGAGGACAATTGAGGCACCTGGCAGTTTACAAAGAGCCACAGCTTCTTTGACACTCCTTCCAAAGTGGCATCTGTCCCCTCCACTGAATCTGAGCAGTCTCTGTCATAACCAGAGCAGGCGAGAGGAAGGGTGTAGATCTATGCTCATTATGGGCCCAGGCCCGAAGAGCTGACAGCTTCCACCTTCCGCCTTTGGGAACACTGGCTCTGGAAGACCAAGTCGGCAGTAGGCCTGTGAGATACCCACGGAGAGAATATATGAAGCGGGGAAAAGGGCGCAGCTGAGCCCAGCCTATCAGCTATCCCTTCCCAGGTACCAGATATGGCAGCAAAGCTATATGGAGCTGAAGAACTGCCCCGCAGAGCCCTGCTTGAATTGCTGACCCCTGCACATGAGATCAAATAAAATAGTTTTAAGTCACTAAGTTTGGGGGTAATTTGTTGCACAGTGATAGATAACCTGACCAGGTACAGAGAGGATGGTCACACAGCTAAGTAATAGGTAATCAGTAAGAGGCAGAGTTAAAATTTAAACCCAGGAAATTTGACTCCAAAGCCGACAGCTTAACCCCGGCTTCGAGTTACATGTGACAGATCCAAGGCCTTCCCTGGACCAAATCAGTTGCCTCTTCAGTCTACTGCCTATGCCTGGCTGTCCAGGTAACCCCGCGGGGAAACAGCACACTGGAGGACGAATGCACGCAACACCAGGAGCCCAGGGCTCTCATCTTCGCGGCTAAATCGCTGTGACAAGCAGAAATTTTTGGTGAAAACATGGACGTCTGTCTCATTCATCAGTACATCTCTTGTGCCTAGAAGAGTGCCCTGGACACAGTAAGTGCTCAATACACAGTTTCTGGATTGATGTACAGGCAGCACTTTCTTTCATCTGTAAAAAGGAAGGGGTCCCCCATTGGGTTAATCTCTGAAGTTTCTTCCTGTTACAAGTTTATACCAAGAATGTAATAGTGGAATGATGGCCTGAATGGGACCAAAAAAAAAAAGGAAAAAAGAACAAGAAAAAGCCCAGCCAAATGTAAATGAAGAGGTGCTTCTACAGGGAACAAGAGCCAGAATGGAATTTTATCCTGTAGAGATGGTCCCAGAGCAAAGGCCCTTCTCTTTGGTAGGACAATTACCAACAGGTCAAACACCACAGGGGAGAATTTGTGGCAGTTTGTCCAGTGGGGCTATTTACAGATGACTTCCCCAAGGGTTCTTAGCACTGGGCTTGTTTCAGAGTGACCCTGCCTTCCTCTAAGCTTTTCAAATGGCTTATTCCCAACCCTCCATCCCAACTCCAATGACAAACGCCCTGACTTGGAGCAAACAAGCCTGGATTCCTGTCTTATCTCTGGACTCTGTGATGCTACACGGGCCAATTCAGTTAAACCAGAATTGTGGGCCTAGAATGCGCAAGACACTGTCTGAGGCTGGAATGCTGATAAAAGGAATGAGATGTGCTCTGTGCCCTCCACAGGCTGCGTCTTGGTTTTCAGATCATTCACTTAACTTTACAAAGTGTCCACTACATGCCAGGCACTTAGGGTAGGACAGCGGACAACTGGGACACAGTCATCCGCGCCTCCGTAAAGCCTCAGTCTGGTGGGAGAGACAAGCATAGCTCTGTCCTGGAGATACTAAATGGAGGGAGTACAACACTAATCTGGGGGAGGAGGAGACATCCACGCTGAAACCTGGAGGGTGGGTCTGCCAGGGAGAAGAGAGCGAAGAGCGCTCACCCTAGTTTTCGGGGGAAGCAAGTGAAAGAGCGCAGGCGAGTGTCAACAGTACCGAGAACCCACGTGTGCCCTGCACACAAAATACCCCTAGCTCCCTGTCTGTAAACCTCTCGGCCCCTCTGTCCTTCCGTAGGAGAGTATTTCCCGCCTTGTCCATTGCAGTGAATCCCTTCGGTTATGGGCTGAGTTGTGTCCCCTCCAAAATTTACATGTTGCATCCTTAACCCCCAGTATCTCAGAACGTAAGGGCGTTGGAGACGGGACCTTTAAATGGGCGATTAAGTGAAAGCCCTAATCCCATCTGACGGATGCCCTTCTAGGAGGAGGAGCGTGGGCTCAGAGCCCCGGGGGCGCTCACGCAGAGGAAGGAGCAGGGGGCGCC